TGCAGATCATCCATCCAACTGATCAAGGCTGTTTCAGTCCCAAAACAGCCCTAAAACCAGATGGAGAAGGATCTAAATAATGTAACTAATTTCCTGGCAGAATCCGAGACCAGGGAGAAGAGTTGGTGGAAGAAGATTGGAAGAAATTTAAAGTTTATTTACAGAAACATTGTAAAATTAAGGAATGTTAGAAGGATGTTGGAATGAAATAATGCGGTTTTAGCGGAAATGCTATAAAGGATTAAGAAAAAATAGATTGCTAAATGGTGAAGGAGGGAAAGTAAAGTTACATTATATTAAGATAAAACAGAGGACAAAAACTGGAAAAGATGGAAAGGATTTGCTGAAATAGCTAATTGAACTAGAATACAAAAAAGGGAGGTCTGAGGAGGTCAAGGAAATAAGCAAATGAAAGATAAGTTATGGGAAGATTCATTGTATTTTTTTCTTTCTTTTCTTTTTTTCTTTTTTCTTTTTTTATTATTGTGATGTGATGTTTTGTATTTCTTTAATATGCTGTTTTTTAATTTTTTCCTTTTGTAACCCTTTAAAATTCAATAAATATTATTATAAAAAATAATAATAATGTAACTAATTTCATTCCTCTTTTGAAATTAAATGCAAGCATGAGCAGCTTGAACATCATCATATCAGAGTCACTATTCCTAATGGGTACTGAAGTCACTGTTCCCAACACTTACATTGCAGGAAGTTGAACTAGATGACTCTCCACCTCTGTGATTCTATGATTTTATTATTCTCTCATACATCAAATTCTGGGCATCACCCGGCATTAATTCCTACACTGCCTTCTCTCTAATCATGATTAAGACGCAGTCAGTTATCCTAACTAGAGATTTTCCTCTCGTGGTTGCAGTTCTGAATGTACATTTACCCAGTCAATGTGATCGTAGTTGTTCAATGTTTCCTATGCATTAACAATTGTCATTTCTGCCCTCAGGAAAACTTTTCTCCATCTGTGCTAACAGATAGTTCAGGTCCTTCCTAGTGAGGCTTCCCTGCTGCTTTTCACAATTTTGTAAACGGACTGGGAGTTTGTTGAAGGAGTGCCCTTAAGCACCTCAAGTGGAGATTCTCATTAACAAATATCAAACGGCTAGGCTGTGTTCATTGTATGGATTACTGTAGTAGCCAAAGGATTAGTGACTAGGGGAGGAAGAGTGCCACCTGCTGAGCTATCAGGATGACTTCCCTGGTACCTAGCTTTACTCTAGATGGTATCTAATTCCCAGCCTTGGGTCTAGCCTGAACCTTCACAGTTTAATGAGAGAAAGCTATGATGTCCTTTAGGAACTCTTCAGTGCTAAAGAATAATAGTTTATATTCACACAGGGGCATTGGTAGGTACACAGATGTGTAACACAACTGTGCCTAAAATTAGCATGTGCAACTCAACAAGAGTATAAATAGTAAAATTATCATTTTGGAATGTGACGTCCCTATTTTCATCGGAGAAATGTTGGAGGGTATGGGACAAGTAAGAATACTGTTCCAGTTAAGCTTTGCTTGAACAACAAGGGCTTTCAAATCTCTGGCATTCTCCTGTATCATTTCATTATCCTTTGGTCCTGTCTTGCTCCTCCTGAAATGGTCTTTGGAGCTTGACCTCCTCGGCTGCAAATGATGTGCTCTGATCATGAATTGACAGCAAATGCACACAATTTACCTCAGGAGAGGAGTCCCAAGGTTTGTGTCCAGCCTTGAAGCACCTGCTCTTACCCCCTGCCTCTATCTCCATAGTCTCACTTCACAAAGATAAGCATTTTTTTCCCTTAGAAAGTGGGGGATAGGGAGGGTGGGAGACTGGAGGGAGGGGAAAATAGGCACTTCAAGCATTCAAGTCAAACACTCAAGCAACTTATTGAGGTGCTGATTACCTGACTTGAAGCAGCCCAAATGATTTGGGGGCCAAGCAGGCGGGTGCCTGCCTATCCCTACAAAGTGTAACTTTACCTCTAACAGTTAAGTCTCTGGTTTGTTTATTTCTCCATGGATGCAAGCAGAATTCCAGGTAGGCATTATTATACCATTGGGCATGGTCCCTGCCTTCACCTAGTGCAGTCAAGTTAAAATTCATATATTTGTTTTTTATGCCCATTGCTTTCTGAGATGGTATATCAGATTTGCTGCCTCTCTTTCCTCGGAAGGAAGTTATTGCTTTCTGTTCATTTTATCCACAGTGTGGTAACTGTCCCCCCCTCCCCCACCTTCTTCTTTTTTTTTGACTTATTGACTGCCATCTTGTATTTCAAGCTAGTGATTGACAGAGTAACCAGAACGTATGAGCAGAAAATCAATAATGCAGGACCTCCAGACAGTCCACCGAAGCTCAGAAGAAACTGGTTTACTGGTCACAGTGCCGGTCGCTGATCAGAAAATGTAAAACTAGCCAGCCATGAACAGAAACAATGTAAAGACAGATGCACTGTTTCTTTGCATGAGAGGATTTTTATATTAGCTTCCTGTAGCTTAAATTCTGTGATATGTTTCTTTAAAGGCAGATGGTGGGGAGATGGGGAGGAGGGAAACATTAAGGTGGGGAAATGGACGGATGGAGCAATGGGGGAGAAGGAAGAAGAAGAAGAAGAAGAAGAAGAAGAAGAAGAGGAGGAGGAGGAGGAGGAGGAGGAGGAGGAGGAAGAGACCAATGGGCAGATTGCATGCGCTTGCTTTCTCTTTGCCCAACCAACCTCTGTTCAGTCTTCAAGCTTTAGGGAGTCTAAATGTAAATGTGTTCTTTAATGTAACATTTACTTGCTCATGTTTAAGTGACACTCGCGTCAACATGAAAGATTTTGGAATTATTACTTGCAAGTTCGCATTTTTACTCCTAATGCATTCTGCCACCCTTTACCTTCTGGTTTTATGGCACTCTAATTATAGCCTGCAGGCCTTCTGTGGTCTTCTGCCTCTTCAGTTGGAGTTCAATTCCAAGTGAGTTCTACCCATTAAGGCCTCCCACTGAGTTATTGATTATTAAGGTAATGCACTTTTACTGCAGTATCTTGAACATGGAAATAGAATAATGAATGGCTTGCAACTGGAGGCTGTGCTCCCATCCTTTCCCATCCCATCATCTTGCCAAGAGATAATTCCAAGAGCCAGTTTTTAAAAACCAAGTTCTAATCTTACAGAAAAAAAGACCTGCCTTACCAATCAAGGTGGATCTTGCCTGACATGCTTCTATAAACTTCTAAGAATGCGGTGGTAAGTGCATAATAGGTCGGGAGAACGGGAGGGAGGGAGCTCTCGAAAATTCAATAGATTTTCTTTCGTAAAATAATAATAATAACTGTACTTCTGTGCAACGGTATTCAACCTTGTGTAAGCTAAATAAATGAAAGGCAGTGACCTTGGTGTTCACAAAATGCTCTACTTAAGGATATCTGATCTGTATAGGGAAGAACAAAAGGAATAGGGAGCTAATGGGTTTTTATTACTTAAATAGGGAGGAAACACCTCAAGGTTAATGCTGCTATATTTTGAGTCTGTTGCTATACAAAAGTTGCATAAGGTGGAAAAATGCATATAGGTGGTGTGCAAAAGAAATTCTGCAAATGTATGATGGGCAGCAGATACTTTGAAGATGCTGTGATATGTCTCTCTGGCCCAAGAAGTTTTACTTTCCAAAGTTTAAGTTTATATGGCCCCTAAAATGACAGGGCCTGGTGGTAATTTATACCACAGGATAATTAATACAATGAACCAACCAGGTCTTGGCTAGTGTGGTGTTTCTGCTATTCAGATTGAGACCCATGGAGATACTGTATACAGGAAGCTTTGCATCAGAATGCAAAGTCCACAAGGATTTTGTTGGAAATATCTGCAAACTGTCAGGAAGCTAATCTATCTGGCGTGTTATCTCTAAAAATCAGGGGAATTATTATAGTATCATGTATGCAAAGCATTCTATAGAGCAGTTGCATGAGGATAGCATACAAAGGGGTAGGGTATTATGCATGCTGTAAGGAATAAATGTGCCCCTAATTACATGCAAGGAATTGTCCTTGCCGTCTTGCTGAGACCTTTGAAAGCAATTGTTTAGATAGGCCTTTGCAATATTACGTTTTCCTTTTTAAGCAACCAGCAAAGGAAGCTGCCTCATAGTCAGAACATTGGTCCATCATGTAAGGAAACAGAGGGTACATTCTACCATCAGTGCCAGATTTACGTATAAGCTAAACAAGCTATAGCTTAGGGCCCCACTCTCTTGAGGGCCCCCCAAAAAAATTAAAGGGGAAAAACCTGGATGTACATTTCCAAAATATAAAGTAAAAAACAAATAAAATGGCTTTAGATACCTATTGGGTCCATTAACTACCATATAGCATATATTCAACACAAAGAACAATGACAATATGTTGTTGACAAAGGACAGCTGGACATATAAAGGGCCCCATTACCTTCAGTAGTTTTAGGGCCTAAATCTGGCCCTGTCTGCCATATGTGGTGGACTTGGTAGAGTGGCCAAGGGATTTGGCGAGATGATTTATAACAAGATGAAGGAAATATTTAAGGCAACACTCCCAAAAAGACCGGAAGCCTCTCCTTTAGGGATAAGTGGAACAGATGTACCCAAAAAGCAGAGGATTTTATTTTTATATGCAACAACTGCAGCAAGAATATTATACGCGCAAAAAATGGAGGGATGAGATTGTACGAAAAAAAGAGGATTGGCAGCTGAAACTGATGGAATATGCTGAATTGGTAAATTTAACTTGTAAAATTGGAGCCCAAAGTGAGGCAGAGTTTAAGCAGCATTGTAAAATGTTTGTTGATTATTTAAAAATATATATTGGAAGTACGTTAAAACGCAAGTAGCTTTAGAGTAAGAACAGCAGTAAAAAATATATGTCTGAAAATAGTGTGGAGAAGATAAGGTATAGAATAACTATAATATGCAGCATTAATGGGGAAACGGGGGAAACCAGGGGGGGAATCCAAAATTATTTGATTATTTTAAAATTCTAGGTCCTACCTGGAGATGCTGGGGATTGAACCTCAGACCCTCTGCATGCAAAGCAGATGTCCTAATGCTGAGCTAAGACCCTTCCTTAGACAGTCATTGTGGTGATAGCAGAGGAAAGATTTGGGAATATTATGTCACTGGCATAATATCAAGGAACCGCCCCTCCCCAAGTCTGGTGCCACCAGACCTGCCTTTATATACAGTGAGGTGATTTAAATCTTACCATCGTGTTTGCATCCATTTCTCTCATCACCTCCCTATATTTGGGGAGCAGTCTATTTTCCTCCCTATCACCCAGCTATGTGAATCTCTGAAAACAGTTGGGCCAAAAATATCAGCTCTGCTCTAGTCACAAAATTTGGAGAAGTAAGAAATCCAATTGATTATCAAGACTATTATGAATGGTATATAGTCATACCTCGGGTTACAGACGCTTCAGGCTGCGTTTTTTCGGGTTACGGATGCGCCGAAACCCAGAAGTACTGGAACGGGTTACTTCCGGGTTCCGGCACTTGCACATGCACAGAAGTGCTAAATTGTGCTTTGCGCATGCGCAGAAGCGCCGAATTGCAACCCGCGCATGCGCAGACGCAGCACTGCGGGTTGCAAACGCTGCAGGTTGCGAATGTGCCTCCCGCACGGATCACGTTCGCAACCCGAGCGTCCACTGTATATGGTATATTTTATATAAGTTCTTAAACTTTGTTTTGAATGTCAGATGTAAAAGGAAACAAATAACCGCGAGAGATGAGAAAAGATCCTGATTCTTCAGCTCACTGCTCACACACATGTGTGTGTGTGTTAAGGAACATGTCTGTCTCTCTTCATGACACCGTAAAAATTCTTCAAAGAAGCCAAGAGAGCTTCATTGTGGCCAGAACAGCCACTTAGGCATTTAAGTATGGAAAGCCAACAAAAGCAAATGCAAACAACATGAAAGAATAATACATTTCCAGGGGTTGGTTGTTCATTCCTCTGTGACTTTATGGCTTCAGCTGCCTCACAATGCTCATCATCTCATCTACAGGCCTTTGGGGGGGGGGAGGTACACACATGCCAAGAGATGTCGTCTGCTACTTTCCCAGACAATGAATATAATGCAAGCTGAACAAGAGGACTGCAGTGCTTGACTACTCGCCAAATTGAAAAAATGTGATGATCAGTCTCAGAATAAACTTCAGCTGGAAGTGTGCTGTGTTTGCCCACCAGCTTGGAACACTCGGTAATGGATGGTGTCAGGCCTTGGGCCTAACGTTGTGGCTGGCTACAGCTGCGGTCTGATTCTGGCAACATAAGGAAGTACCACATGGGCCAGATGGAGAAAATGTAGCCACACATTGGGTTGGAGGTCAGGCACTGGATCCACCAAGCAAGGACTAAGGGCTGGAGGTGGCTGCTAGGTTGGGCAGATTGGATCCAAAGGCAAGAATGAGGTTAAAGTTATGGTGTTGGAGGTCAGGCATCAGGGAAGATCAGGCACACAGGGGGAGTGGGGCACCATCGCTCTTCCAGCTTTCCAACATAGCAGGTTGCTGCTGCCTACCATGAGGGGCAGGGCATGGTGTAGCGCACAGTGGGAAGCCAGGAGAGCAACAGAGCCCCATCTCTGCTGCTATTTGCCAGCAACGTGTCTGTGTCATTACTGTATCAGACAAGTTGTTCAGGACCACAGCTTGGAGGAGGCCCTTTATACAGCCAGCCAGGACACTATTGGTCTCTTGGGTCACATGGTTGTAGTGGAACTAAAGAGCTGCAGTTCCATTCCTGGCTACTCTATGGGAGGCACTATCAGAGACTGGGCTTTGCTATCTGAGTCCCCAGATTATTCCAGTGCAATATAGGTTGGATCCTGTGAGCCACACCACACAGAATAAATGCATAATGCCCTCTGTCTGGCCCCACCACATGCTTTCCCCCCCCCCCCCCAATGTGGCAAGTCCTAGCTCTTCAGAAGACTTTGGGTGATGGCTAATTTTGAACCATACCTGGCTGTTTACTGTAGACCCCAAACATACTGTTCATAGCATTATAGCTGCTGTTTGTTCTGCTGTGTTCGTGTGTGTGTGTAAAATTGTAGCAGGCAGTCCACACCACTGGTTGCGCCTCACTGTTTTTTCCTCCACAGTGATTGTGCTTTTTCCATCCAAATTGATAAGATGCATTTGGATTAAAAAAAGTAATTTGGTGGTTGTAGTCACATCCCTTCTGTCCTCATTCCTCCAACCAAGTGATTGTTAGTCCTTTTGTATTTGTTTGGTGAAGGTATTTAATGTCTTGTTTTCTGGCATTCTGTTCATGAGGGAAGATTAGACAGCACAAACTTCACCGCTTGGGTCTAAGCTACAGATAACCTCCAGACACCAAACGGACACGGCTCAAACCACATGCCCAAATGCCACACGAAATGTGGGAAATTGCACAAAACATCTTCCAGCCACTGAAAATACTGTAAACCCATTCCAGGTTTTTCAGAAATGCCGGAGAGGGTGGAGGCTGACAGAAGAAAAAGCAGTTTGACACACCTTTTCCTGGGAGCAAGGCCCACCGAACTCAGTGCAGCTTTCTTCTGAGTTGACACTTAGTTTTTACTAGATGCAAGTCAGCAGCACCCTGCTTGGCTAGGTGCTGGGGTCGATTTTGCCCTGCGCCTTGCAGAGCCAGGCTGACGCTGCCAATAGGCCCTGCACCCCTCAGCAAAATCCAAAGGCCCCGATATGCTAGGCACTGGGGTGGATTGCACCCCACACCTTGCGAAGTCAGGCCCAGGCTGCCACCTGGCCCAGCACTGGCAGCAGCTACAAGCAGTGGTCAAAACGGGAGCCTCAGCAATCGCCCTTTCCTGCTGGAAAGAAACCATGACTGCTCCAATAAAATGCATGTGGCAGAAAGAAGCGCTAGGCTACCCCCTGGTGGGCCACTCCCTTACCCAAATAGATAGCCAATCAGGATTTTTTTAAAAAAAATGATTTGTTTCCCTTTTCTTCTCACTTCCTTCTGTGGCCCCATGCTGTAGCCCCCCCCCCCATTTACGTAAGTTTCACCTGTGGCCCCCTTGGAATATCCTGGCCCCCCCCAGGGGGCCATATGGCCACCAGTTGGGAAACACTTTATATTACTCTGTTGCACCCTGGACCCCTGGTTTAGCCTGGAAGTAAATGCAGTGGTGTTTGAAATGTATGATTTGAGGCTGAACTGAATTTCATCATAAAATGAGGATGTTATGTTCAAAAACAAGCGCTGCCTCTTGCTCCTGTCAATAATTCTTATACCTGGTCCTTTCATCATTCCTTATAATGTCAAAGCAAGGTTTTTATCCATCTTTATAAAACATGAATAAAAAAAATATTGCCAAAGTTCATCCTTTGGTTTCAAGACTGCTTTGTGAGCGACTGGATGCTGAGCAGTTTGGAGCCACATACAGGATCAATAGCAGAAGTAAATGTTATTTCAAAGAAACACGAAATAATTCTCTCTAGTGGTAAAACTCCTGCATTTCTGTCAGGATCATATTAAGAATCTCTGAACTGCAAGACACAGACATACAGGCTCCTTAACTGATATGTTAAGTCAGCATAGATTCATTTTGTTGAACTCCGACACACTGTATGGCATCCAAAGAAATTTTCCATCTAAAATAAGTTATTCCATCACTCCAGTATTTGTAAAAATATATTCCTCACTCCTATTAGCTGGCGGTATAATATATTGAAATGCACAGTTCAAAATCCTGTTGTCCAAGTTGAAGTTCCTTGGAGCATAGTCTCTAAAACGCACACAGATTACACTTGGCAGTATTTTTTATTCTTTTCTCCTTTTTTGCAAAAAAAATAATAATGACTTTAACTTTAAAAGGTATAGTGCAATGGGAAAAAATAAGATTTACCAATTGGACCACAAATTCAGGGTAAATCTGCAGTTATGATTAAGTTTATGAGCTTCATAGGGTTCTTTATGAATTGGCTTAAAAGTATGCCTCTTTTGAATTGCCTCAAAAACTGCACAAACACGTCTGAAAAATGGTTCAACAGGGGGGGCAAATAGATATGAACCTGGGAGATATCAACTTTTTCTGACCAAAGTAGACATTGGGGTAAGCACATATCTCCCACCCAAAGGAAGTCACTGGAAAGAGTTCCAAATGTTGCATACCAACCTTCCCAGCTTAGATTAACACTTTAAAAAGTCCTGCTACTCCATTCAGATGCCAATTCCTGCCTTCATCTATCTCTATCTCCACCCCACACCCCTTGCATCATGCCTTCTGAAGTAGATTGCTTTTCCTGGCTGCCAGCCCTAGCCACCATATGTTTCCTTCTCCTCTTCTACAGCATCTAGTACAGTGATGCTTTCCTGATGGTCTTGGATTGCAAATCCCATCAGCCCCAGCCAGCATAGCCAATCAGGGATGCGGGGAGTTGTACTCCAACAACATCTGCAGGATGCTGTGTTAGCTACCCTGATCTAGTAGACCTTTCTTCATTTCTTGGCAATCCACGTTCCTCACCTCCTATCAACAGCAATCAGGGCTGTGCAGTGGGGGAAGAGAACCATGGAACACAATGATGCTATCACAAAGTAAAGGCACAGGCATTTTCAGTTGCAGGCCCATTACTACAATGTATAGTTTAGCTCCTGGTTCTATTTCTCCCTGGCATCTTCCAGACCTGAAGAATGACAGACCCAACATTGATCTGATAGACTTTGAGGGGCAGATTACAAATGCAACAGGGAGAATCCTTTCCCCGATACTCTCCTTCTTCAAACAATCATGAACCGGTCTGAACAAGTACTTCGGCTTCTTCCCTGGCTGTGTACTAAGGAAACACTGAACTCCCCACAGTTGTCAAACAACACATTCGCGGCTCAAGCAAAAAGCAGCTTGTGTTAAAAGAAGTTCTATCCCAATAAAAGGAAAAGCTCAACTGTGAGGACCCTTGAAGGGAATGCTACACCTCACTGGTATCATCTTTGATCTGCAATTGGTACCTCTAACAGAAATACACTTGACACTTTAAATATTGATGAGATATTTGCAGAGCCGCCATTAGAAGTCAGGGCTTCGCTTTCTACTGGAAGGAGGG